AAGGAACATCCCTATTAACACGAGGAATCAACCCCTAAATTTCAAGTCATGGTGATTACTATTTAGCTAACTAAAATTAAAATATTACAGAGAGTATTTAATCAATTAAACACAAACACAAGTCAAATAAATTTAATTTTTGTTTCACATTATTCTCCTCTGTTCAGTGAGTATGAGGATATTTTTATTTTATTTTTCTGATTTTTTTACACAAAGATATGGATTTTATAAGTTCTTGAATTAATTTAAATCAAAAATCTTGATTTTCCTACTTAATCCAGTCAGTCGCCACCTCAACCTACGGTGCTCGAAGCTTTCCATGCGTCGCCACACTACTAGACGCTGCCATCCACCTCATTTTTCATGCGGCCCGTTGTTCTTATTTCATCTCCCCATCCGGCGTGATCCCAACCGTCCAACTGATACACGCGCATCCAGTGGCTCTCCATCATCATCCCTGATCGTCCAATCCCAAGAACCATTCACACTAAAACCTTTATATTTCTATCAATACTCAACCAAATCACATGGGGTTTGTTCCTACACCTTCATCTATTCAATACGAACACATCTATACAGTTCCATGCTTATTAAATCAAACATCTCTTCACAAAAGCCCAAACCAAGCAAAAAATTAGGGTTTATGGTCTATATTTGAGTCTGAGAGGAGTGGCCTCAATCAGATGCTTGTGGAAGCTTCAGTGGAGTCCGACGAACTTCTTGGAAGTGTTGGTTTCCTTTGATGAATAGCATAGGTATAACTTCAATGAAATGGTGATGCGGCCTTGGTCAAGAGCTAGGTTAGAGGGCTCAACAGAGGGGGGTTTCAATGGGAATCTTCTTAGTTTGGTCTAGGGAAGTTCTTGGAACAATCAATTTGAAGTTTGGTGGAGTTTTAAGAAATGGTCAGAAACTGCCCTGGTTTTAAGCTCTGAAATTGAGCTTAAACAGTGGGGAAGATGGTTGGAGGTTGGTTGGAATGAGCTTAGAAGGTCGTGGAGGAGCTATAGAAACAATTTGACAGAGTTTCCCCAAGGAAATTGATGGTTTCTTTTCTTGGTCGTGGGAGCTGGAGCTTAAATAGAAGGGGAAGGACTAAGGAGTGGCCACCATGGCTGGCCAGTGGGTGCAAAGGACAGCTTAGGTGAATTGAAGAGAAGTGCAAACAACTAATTGGGATGAGCCAACTCAGGGACTTCAAATTTTGAGTTTGGCCATGGGGACCTCTCGATTTTGGTGTTTTCCGACCACTAGGCTGGTCGACCAAGCCAGGGCTAGTGGCTAGGTGGCTCAGAGGATTCAAGTGAAGCTTAATGATTATTACCACAAAGTTTTGATGGTTGATGGCAAATGCATTTGGGTTTAGCAAAAGATCCCCTAAATCAAGGGACCTTTAAATCAAGGGACCTTTGGGTCCATGGCTCCTGTAGGGTGGGCTAGGTGGGTCTAACCTGGTCTCTATGGTCTAAAGGCTGACTATGGCGACCATTGTTTGGTTAATTTGAATGGGTTGGGTTAAATTCAAGGATTGGGCTCAAAATCATGTCATGGGCTTGGATTTGATTTTGGCTTAATTGATTGATTAAATTGGCTTGGATAATTGTCTTGATAAGTTTTGAAAAGAAATTGGGTGGCTTTGAAATGATTTGGAAGTTTGATTTAATGGAATTTGACCCATGATCAATTTTGGGGCATTTGGGCTAGACTTGGGTTTGGATTGAGCTAGGGTTTAGGTTAAGCTCAATTGATGGTTCAATTTGGTCCAAGGGTTTGTAATGAAAATTTTAGGATATCAATTGGATAGAAATTTTGGACTTATGAGGTTCAATTTGAGAGATTTGGACTCAAGTGTAAATTTGGGGGTTTCGGCCTAGGTTGGATTTGGGTGAAATTTAAGGCTAGGCTAGGGCCAGTTGAAAGTTCAATTTGGTTTAAAGGAATGTTATAAGAAATTTGGAATTCAAATTTTGGGAAATGGGATAGGTTAGGAGGTTCAATTTGGAGAAATTGGGTATATGGTGAAATTGGGCATTTTGGTTGGGCTTGAATTTTAGGTTTAAAATTGGGTTGAGCTTAAATTTGGTTTCAATCAAACTTAGAAATGATGAATTTGAGTTATAATTGAAATTGGGTGAGAATGAAGTCAACTTGGTAGAAATTGGGGGTGAATTGGGGAATTTGGGCCTTTAAGGGCAATTTAAGGATTTTGGTCAAAAGGGGTCAATTTGGTTAAATTGGACTTAATGGAGTGGTTCAAATTGCTTTTGGGAACATTTGGAGTGATTTGGAGATTTTGGAAATTTTTGGGGTAAGAAGGGCATTTTGGTAATTTTGGCAATTTTTTGGGTATTTTGGTAAATTTCAGTGATTTGGAATGGTTTGAAATGACTTTTGAAGAGATTTTGAGAATTTGGGTAATTTTGGGGATTTTTATAAAATTGAGGGTTTAAGGGTAATTTGGTAGTTTTGAGAAAGTTTAGGGGCAAAAGGCTAAAATGGGGTACTTAAGTAAAACTGGGGTTTAATAGGATGTCAATCATTATATTACCCTTCATGAGCCATGAGACCAAGGGAGACCCACTTTGGATCCTCCACATGCTGGTCTTATCAAAACCCTAGCCTAGAGCTAATGGTTTATGGGACCATCCACATCAGTTTCCAAAAAAAGTAGGGAAACGGGTTAAGGTTGTGAGTGGGTTAAGGTTGTGAGTGTGTATCAAGTGTATGTGTGCTGTGCGTGAGACTGACCAAGACCACATCACACAGGGTCAACCCTAAGGCCAAACAGTTCTATGAGGACTCCTCTTGAGCTCCCCCTTGAGCTCCCCCATATTGGCTCCACCATATTGGCTCCACCTACTAAGTGATAGAGGTTAGAACCAACATGTGGAACTTCAAGCTAAGCAAAGAAGAGTTTTAGAATTTCTAAAGTTGATGGTGTCATCACTAATCCTCTAGGATAGTCAACAGGAAAGTCTTATAGCTAGATCCTAGGCTTCTAATAAAGAGACTAGACTTCAACTAAAAGTTAGGTTAACAACTGTAGACTTCATTTCGCCCAAATCTTAGTTTGAATCTTGATGTAAACCCTGCACGGTTCTGGTACTAGGATACTATATTCATTCGACAATTTGAGTCTTTCAGTGTTCTTAGAGTTTCAGTTCTCCTAAAGGGTTTGGTTCTTGAGGAGTTTGTGCTCTACCCTCGAGTATTGGGTCAGTCAATTCTGGCATTTGTCCCGCCATTTGGTCTCAGAGTTCTTGAATTTGTTGTTTCACAATTTTTCTTATGGACTCCACATTAAAGGGTTCTCCCAAGTGAGTTCATGCTCCTTAACATGCTCCTCTTCAAGTTGATGGCATGATTTCACGTTCACCGCACTTTTTGGATGTTAAATCAAAAAATGTAATGTGGATCACACACAAGAAATAGAGCATTAGACAGATGAGACGAATAGATAAGGGATAATATGGTGCACAATAGCATAAGTTCTGATGGGGTGAATTCAGTAGTCCCTTCTAGATGTACTGACCTATTATTTATAGCTCATGGGGGTATCAAATAAAGTAGCTTGTTTGTCTCTACTAAAATAGGGATACAACTTATTAATACACTTTCATAATTGTAACTGACTCTGGGACCCTTTAATATTCATGACTAATGTAGGCACCGCTTCGCATTCATAGCTACTTATAAGGGTAATTTAATGATTTGTAGTGTCGTCATTCATCAGTCGGCTGAAAGGTCTTCGATCGGCTAGAAAATCTTTGGCCAACCTCAAGAGAATCCTTGTTAGAGGTCTTCTTGCAGTTAGGGTGAACTTGGAGCATCAGGTAGAGGGTGTATCAGCGTAATCTAATGGGAATCTCTCCTTCGACAAGGGGTCATCTTAGAGGATTGGAAAGATATTGTGGTGCCCTTTAACAACTTGTGAAGAATCCTGGAATCAATCGAGGGTTTGACTGAAGCTATCACTCAAAACGTGCCTCGTGTTTTTTTGTTCAGTTGAGATTTTGTTCTATTAGCCAATAATTCCAGCTAGAGTCCAAGTAGACATATCTATCTTTTGAGCAACCGGACATACACTTCTTAGACCCGTCAAATCTTCTCAAGATTAGTACGATAATATTTTTGATGTACACTATCATTATTATATCGTTTAAATTATATTAATTGATTTTAATTTTTAATAGATTATTTGATTCAGTCCCTCTTCTCAATTGTGTTAGTTCTTGTGATGTGTCCTATCCTCCAGTTAATCATATGCCTCAAGTAATAATATCACCATTTCAGCAGGGCCATGTTTCATTTTATTCAAACTCTCAAAAGTATTATCGCCATATCAACAAGGCCAACAAAGATGGCGAGCTTAGAAATCCCTTGAATGCAAATTTTATTAACACAAAGGACTCTTGCAGGAGTGCAAACAAGCACTACAAAGAAGAAAACAAATCATCCTAATGTCATTCCAACAACTACCATTGTTAGCAACGCAAAAAAACATAATACTTCTCACTTGTTCAATTCGAAAAATCTTGTGAGATATTTCAACCTTTATGTTTGCTGAAAGGGTTCACCTATAAAATATATTTGGAAAATTTCTGCTATGAACTTTGTAGAACTTTTATAGTTTTTTTTTAATGAATTTATTAGAGTTTCATTGATAAAAGGATTATATTTAATTTTCATAAAATACTATAGAATATATTTTGTTTTCAGTGCTCCAATATGAATGATGGCATTTAATCATTTGACCGCATATAAAACTGACCGTTAGATTTTTCAAAACATAATAAGCAACCGCCCCAAATGGACTTTTCATCTTGAATGAAAAATTCAAATAATGTACTGAAAAATGATTTCTTACATTAAAATGTAGGCGGGCATCCAGGGTCCAGGAAACTTTAAGAGCTGAAAGTTTAGATGTTCCAAGCAACTTTAATGAGTAAAGAGATGGTTTGATATCAACCAGCAAGGTACAGTTCAACAATTCAATCACATATGGGATTTTCAGGAATTCAATTATATCGTTTAAATAGAAATGTCAATTGTTTCAACAACTTTTTAAACTTATACAGTGGTTAATTATAAGAATGCCTATCCCTAAGCTGTTTCATCAAATAATAAGTCACAAAAAATTGAAACGTGGGACCACCACGACAATAGGTGACGGTTGCACAAGAAATAAGAAACAGAGGTTCAAATTAACTCGCCCCTCCATCAATTACCTCAGGCCAACAAAGAAGAAGCTGGTGAATATGGTAACTGAAATGAAACTGAATATCATAATAATGATAGAAGCAGCCTTTCCGTTTTCATCATATCAGCAGGGCACAAACTGCAATGTTATTTGAGTTAATCCTCATGCTCGTCCTCAGCCTCAGAATCTGTTCGAGTAAAAAATGAAAACAGGTGAAAAGATCATTTTTAAGACATCTGAGAGAGATTGTATCAATGATGTCAACTTCAAAGTTTCAATCTTAGGAGTTATTTGGAAACATTTCATTTTTTCTTGTTTGACTTATGTTTTGAAAAAATTAAAACACGTTTAAATTGTTAATTATGAGTTTTTCTTTTTTACTTTTGGCAGCAGTAATGGCAGATGATGGTGGTACATAGTGGCTGATTGTGGGGGCTTGGAGCGGCAGCATGATGGTGGCCAGAAACGGAAGTGATGCTCAATTTGAAAATGATGAAAACACTTACGAAACAAGTGAAAGTTATTTTCACTATTTTAAAAAACAATTTGATTTTGTTTCCCAAAAAGAACAGCTCAAAAATACAAACCAAATATATATTTTTTAAAAAGAAAAAAGTAAAAACAAAAATTGATCCAAAATAACTCCTAAATGTTCAATAATTTTAACTGTCAATCAGCAAAGAAAGCCACACATCAAGCAAACATACCAGATCGAACATCATCACCAATATGACCTTTTGATTGGATTTGTTTAATAATCATCCGGAAGATAAGGACCCACCAATAGATATGAAGAACAAGTAACGATATTAAGAGAGAATTGAAAACATAATAATATATGGGTCCATCAACCTTGTGTTTCTCCTTATCGAGTGTCAATACAACTTCATAGCTGCCATGAAAGCATCAGAATTAAAAAAAAATCACAAGACACTGTACAACATGAAAAATTCATTTCTAACATGACAAACCAAGCAAAATTCAACAATTAAAATTTGATGATGGCATATTTTCATCTAGCCAAAACTAGATTGTAAACATCAAACAGATGACTTGTGATCTTGATTTATGTTTATTGAAGTAATTCAGATAGAAGCAGTGCCTCAAGAAAATAAGCAAAAGAAATAAAAATAATACAGGTAGAGTAAAATAGAATGACAATTTACAGGGTTTGAAATATCTGCTTGAACTTTATGCTATATTGTAAAGATTGGAAGTCATGTATTTAAGCAATGCAGAATCTGCTCTATCAACATAATCTTGGATCCTACTGCTACACTGGAAATATTGGCCTTCTGCACTACATACCAAGTCTAAATTTTAAGAAAGACCTAAGCAAAAACCAGGGTAGAATCTCAAAATGAAACTGTCTAAACTTGGTCATTCTTCCTCATTTCCACATCATGAAGACCGTTGAAGAAAATGCAATAAAGATTTCAAACCTTCTACATCACACGGAACATTAAATCACACTTGACGGAGAAGGGTAACTTGCTACCCAACAGATGACATTTCATGATTTTACCCTTTTAATAAAGGTTTACATATTAGCAGTTAGCACCTAGACACCAAAATTTTTAAAATCTCGCAAACCTGCAATATATTTAATCAATCATTCCAGGCATTCTTCAGAATCTTCAAATTCCCTTCATAACTCACCTACGGAATCCAAAGTTACTGGTAACATCATGAGGTAGGAATTGTAGCACTGCACGGAAAGACAGTACTATGGTATCGTAAAGGACAATCATTTGCTTTTATCTTCTCAAACATTGAAGTCAAATGATCATACATCTTCTGGGTAATGAATTACAGCATCTGGTAGACTAATCATTACATATAATTCATTGTTAACTTTTGTGAAACTGTAGAAAGAGGTCAAGACAACCATATCCAAAATAAAAGAGCATTAAATTCATTGGATTATAGACAACATTTTAAAAATCCAGAGGTTCTCAAAAAAAAAAAAAAGGCATATGACGAGAAGGTGGAGTAATGGAGAATAAGGAAGAATAATCACAACCATTAACAATGGATAATCATTCATAATTATCATATATAAGGCATCAGTGGCATTACTCATAATCATATTCCTTGGCAACCATCAATACATGATTCATTGGAGAAAAATCCATCATGGAATTAAAATAATAAATTAATATACCTCGTACTCCAAATGACCCAAAAAGGGAAGTAAATGAGCCGAAGTGCAACCCATGAGACCACAAATAGAATAAATGAGGTTGCTGCAAGCCACTCACAACCACTGTACTTCGACATCTTTCCTATTTCCATAAATACATCACTTGCATCATGAATTGCTAGAACAACGGAACCAACTCGTGCAAATCTGGTTAAAGTGTATGATTAAAATAACAAATGTAAGCTAAAAGTAATCAGAATTTAGCTTCACAAAAAATGTAATAACTGTGGCTAATTTATGAAAACCGTAAGCACTATTCTATAATAATGCAACCAGGCCTTTGAAGATAACAATTATTCATTCTCCCTCAAGAATGATAGATTAAAGAGAGCACTAGAAGGGTAATGCTGCATGTTTCACTTCATTGTAACAATTAACAATTAAAATGAACATGTATCCATTGAGATTTCAATAAATTGACATTAATCTCAGTGATTTAAAAAAAATTTCAGGATATCATTCTTTCTACAGTTCTTTGACCATTTTTTTATATAAAAAATGCAACGTTAAAGAAGACATAGCGATTCATAGGTGAAAGAGCTGCGCTTTATGAGTTTTAACAGACAACTTAGGGCCCATTTGGTGCCGCTTTCTTCGCACAGCGAACCCTCATCTTCTTCCAGAATAAGGTAATCTGCTTCGCTTTCCTTCTCCTCCCTTCATAAATGCTTGTCTATGTCCCTACTCCTCTCTCATTTTCACCCAAAGCCATCACCTGAGAGACCGAACCCTCACAATACAACTCTCCTGCTTTGTTTTCTTCCCCACTTTGTCTGGTGTCCAAGCCATCCATATTTACCACTCTGCAATCAATGAGCATCAAGCCTCACCATCTTCCAGATGTACACAGAAAAGGATTTGAGTGCAGCTAAGGATTTTTATGAGAGATTCTCTTGAGGAAATTAATATAAGCAAGTATATATGGGAATATTCAGTTTCAATTGTGGTTTCGATTGCAATTCTACTATAAAAGGATACACTACTTGTTCTAAATAGAGTTGCTTTCCAAGGTTTAAACTTCTGGAATTATTTTTCAAGCACTTTTTCTTAGTGCAGTTTAAAGTAGATGAAAATTAATTTTTTCATATAAATTTATAAATTTAATTTTCGTTTTTTTATTTCAAATTAAATTTATTGTATTTAAAAATGCTACAGATAATATATGGAGCCTAAGATAAATTTTGATTTCCAAAAACTAAGATAGTTGAAATTTTAAGAAAAAAAGATGCATCAAAAATTAATTTATGCTTATCCCCCACATATAGTTAATAATATATCATATAAATTTATGATTATTAATATAATAAGAAGCTATTATTTTAGGCCACAAGCTATCACACCCTTTGCTTACGCTGTAAGGCAAAGATTAGCCAAGAGATTCAAAGCAGAAGGGAAAGGTTAAGGAGTTTTTAAGAAAAATTTACGCTAAGAAATCTCAAATTTTTGGGATAAGCTAATGAGGATGATAATTTAGACAAAGAATGATTAGTGTTATCTACTATATTGGGGAAGATGACTACAATAATATACTAATAAATACATGTGAGTTTTTTCTACATGCTGGAGGTGTTCTCTCTTTTCTCCGGTTGACTGTGCCACTTAGCTGACTAGGGACCGTTCATGATAGATTTGTGTAACATTTATTTTGTGTAAATTCATCAGTAATAAGGGATTACACTTCTCATCTATTAACTGCGGCAAGTTTTTGTGTTGCCTTGTATATTTTCCAGGCTATCTTTTATGAAAGGGAAAATTGTGAGTGATTAACAAGGGCTTAAGACTGCGTTCTCGCTAACATAAGTATTGACACCTAAATTTCAGTAAAAAATTGTAAACTTTTTAAACTCTTAAATACTTACATATGCAGTACCTAAACACAGTTGCCTATTGCAACACCACAAATGTCGATCGCACGCCGGCACCTTGTTTTGTTACGTTACATATGAAGTAGCTAATTATTTGTTTTGTTAAGTTATACCACTTTCTTTCACTGTAGTAATACAATGACCAACAAGAATAAAAAGTCTGGCACACCCGTGCTATGAGAAAAAGAGACGAAAATAATATTTTGCGATCTTTGCCTAAAGGAAATTGATTTGTGTAACATACCAACTACATTTTTCAATAAGGGTGACAATCTTATCAAGAAATTCAAGAAAAGTATGGGCAGAGAATATAACAGGATGCAATTGATAAACAAGTGAGATCAATTCAAGAAGTATTGGAAAATTTGGAAGGAAATGAAACGAGGATCTACGGGATGGAATCCGGTCAAGCGAAGAATTGATACTCCCGAGGAGTGGTAAGCTGAAAGACTTGTGATAATGCTTTTACCAATCATATAATTCAGTCATTTTCACTTCAATTTACTAAATAAAGTTGATGTAATGACTTTGTAGGTGGTGCCCACAGCGAAGAAATTTAAACTTTCTGGAATTGAGCTAGAGCTGGAGGAGAAGTTGGATGGAATGTTTGCGGGTGTGGTTGCTACAGAAAAATATGCATGCGCCCCCTGTGAGACACGGTTCGGTGGCACCCAAGAAAACTTTGTTGTTGACCTATCAGCTGATTCAGACGAAGTCCCTAGTCCGGACCTCCATGAAGTCCAGTCTACCGACCGATCTAAGCGTATGTGGGTGGAGAGAAAGAAGAAGGGCGGAGTTGCTTACCTCCAAAACCAGATATCAAATCTGGCAGCTTCTAACAGCATTGAACCGCATACAGTATAGGCACAATCCATTCAGCAGGTCGTTCAAATCTTGAATGCAGATAGGAAAATTTCAGAGGTTTGACCCTATACTTGTTTGCGATTGAGTTCCTTGAAAATTCTACCTGCAGAGATTTTTTCGTCTTGATCTCCCAAGATAAAAGGGTGGCATATCTACGATATTTTTATGGTCGCCAGGAAAATTGAGATTTTTTTTTCGTTGCTACTGATTGAGACTTCTACTTGTATTTTGCATTATGAGATCTCTACTTTTATTTTTTATTTGCTACTGATTGAGACTTCTGTTGCATAATATTTATAGATCTTCCTTATTCATAATTTCTTGTTATTCAGATATCACAACTGCTTGAGTCATATTTTGTTAATAAGTGAATAATCCTTTTTTGTCTCAGCAAGTTCGATATATACCTACATGGATTTAGCCAGAGAAAGACATAGAAAGAGAGTTGCAACAGTTTACTTGATCCACAAATATTACAAGAAATACATTGATCACCCTCCATGCTTGACATCATCATATATTGTGAACAAATGAGTTGGGGAGTTGCTTGTTGGACACCCAACGAGATTCAGCAACATGTTCCACATAAAACAGGAGATATTGTTTGAACTTTTAGCAGAACTTAGTACAAGTCACAAATTTCGTGGGTCATCGAGGATGACTCGGCGAGAGGTACTTGCGATAACCCACTATATTTTTTTCACCAAATGGGTCAATGCGAGGAGCAATGGAATGATTTCAACACTCCTCTGAGACGATTAGTCAGTACTCCGTGGATTTGGAAGCACTTTTAAATTTTTTTGTGCAAGTCATCAAACCAACTGATCCTACATTTGCACTTACTCTTATGGAGATTTTACACGATGCATGCTACATAACTTTTCTCAAGAATTGCAGCGGAGCAATTGATAGAACCCATGTTAATGCATGAGTTTATAATAATGAAAAGATTGCATTCATCAGGCGTTACAGATCTCCTACGCAAAATGTCATGGCTATTTGTGACTTTAACATGTGTTTCACTTTCGTTGTGCCTAGTTAGGAGGGAAGTGCACACGACAGTAAAATTTTCAAGACTGCAATGCGGAATGCCCAATACAATTTCTCACATCCGCCTCATGGTATGCTCGAGCCCCAAATACTTTGTTGATTCTCTTTAACCTTTATACTAATTATGTAATACATTTCAGATAAATATTACTAGGTGGATGTTGGATATATGTTACAGCGAATATATCTCAAGCCCTTGATACGAGATATCACATATCGGATTTCGAGTGAGCCAGCAAAGTTACACGTGGTAGAAAAGAGTTGTTTAGCAAAAGAAATCCCTCCCTGCGCGATGTCATCGATAGGACTTTCGGTGTTTAGAAAGAGAAATGGGATATACTCTGTAATATGTCGTCTTACCCATTTCCCAAACAGGTCTAGATTGAAATTGCCACAATGACTCTGCACAATCATATTCAGCGACATCTTTTCCGCAACGACACCGATGAAGATCAGGAGCATGTACCCCCGGAAGCATTTGAGTACCTTCTCGGGCATTCCCTACCATGAGTTGAAAATGATTCTTCAATTATCTGTACTACAGAGGGGGAAGGTGTCAGCGAAATGGCGGAGCTACGAAAGCAGATCACTGGTGTGTTAGTACGAGGCTGATTGCAGTATATCTAATTTATTTAGTCTAGTGTGTAATTCATTTTATTTGTCAGAACATTTTTAACATTGATAATGGATATTTAGCATTACAATGGGGTTGGATACTTTAGTTTTGTTAATGTTTGATATTTCAGAGAACTTTCAATTTAAAGGCCTTAATGAGAATAATTGCAGCATTTTATCATGAATGTTTGATGAACCTATCCACGCTTTTAGGTGACAAAACTCCATGGGAGCAATAATCAAAGTTGACATCAGTAGACATGATAATAAAATTTCTAATAATCATTAGATGACACATATTTTGATATGGAAGACGACATAATCTTCTCCATGCATCTTTGAAGATTTATTATAATTAGGCTTTGTTTGGGAATGCTATTTTGAAAGCACTCAGACCACCATTTTGATTTGTGTGGCATATAGGTTGTTACTGCTTATTTGCTGGGAACATGCAGGAGGAATCACAACACCTCTAATTAAAGTGATCAAGTCGGGATGCAATTAGGAAAAAAAAAATAAGGGTTTCCATACATACGGTAAGAAGATAATGGTTAATGTCTCAATATTTATTTAATTTAAAAGAAAAAAAAAACTAATAATACAGATACCAATGTTTAATATGCTAGAGGCCTCTGATTTTATGAAAATACATATGATCCGTTTCTCAGGCTTATTGGGTGGCAGCGCCACCCAAGATATTACCTCCATAAAATAAGTGTCATGAGAGAATTTGTTCTCCATACATAAGCCTAA